CCATGTAGAACCTCTATTCGAGGTAAGGTCTTTTGCAATTCTGGATCAAGGCCTATCTTAAAAGTAGTCCATCAGCCTCCCTAAAACTCTCCTCTATGCCTAGGAATAAGAGCAATAACCATACATACTGTTTTACCCACAACCACAGCTTAATTATTAATAGTATCCCACTTCATTCTTAGAAGTGTATGGTATGAATAATAAACTATATAGTCAGTTCAAATCCAGAGGCAAGGAAAGGGAAACTGAAAAGAAAATATAAGAAAATAATTTTTTGCCCTCAGTACTAGAATAGAATGTTCTTAACATACAACCTCTGGGCCTTCCTTTCCCTGGGCTTCACCAAGTTCCCATTTGACGTTCTAAGAAAAGCAAGCATCTCTCTCCAATAAGAAGATCACCAGGCCTCTCTTCCTGCCATAGCAATGTGGGTGAAAAGAGTCCTCAGTGCAAGTGGCTAAAACAGAAGATACCTGTGAATAGCAACTTTTAACTCTTAATTATATTGAATAAATACCTCCGTCTTCCAATAGTATATTTTTAATTTCTTCCTCCTAGGAGCAGAGTAGAAGAAGGATAAGCCAGTACAATTAGCCTAACCTCATAAATATTTGTCTAACCCTGGTTACCTTCTTGAGCCTACACTCCTGTGAAGCCGACAGTGGGTCTGGTTCATTAATGTCAATGTTAACAAAGGCTGCCCACCGCATTCCCCAGGTTTGAAGAGAAAACTTTTAGAAACATGCACATAGAAAGCCATTTCTTTTAAATTCCATAACAATATGATTCAAGCAGAATATAAATCATGCTGTAAAATCAACTCTTGCCCTCAAGTAGTCCCAAATGGCAGAGTTCTGTTTAAAAGAATAATTCAGGTATAATTTATGTAATAAAATATGGTCTGAGAGGTCCAGCAGAGCTGGCACAGGAAATTATTTACACAATGAATTGGCTTTCACTGCCATTCATACATTTGAGAAGGACCTTCCTTCTCTCTTTTTCAGAATTATCTCATCATAATTCCTCTCTCATGTAAATAAAAAAAAATAAAATACAATTATTACCCATGTAACACTCCAGAGCTAAAGCCAGTGAGAGTGTTGACTATGTAAGATTGAGAGGTTAGGGTGCCAAATCTCATTTACAATGCATTCCTCCACATGCCTTTGAAAGGAACAGGGTTAGGCTTTCCACCGAAGCTCTGTGACATTCATAATTGCTTTTCTCTCCAATATCCTTTTTATCAGTAAGTGAGAATAGCAGTATATAACTCCTCCTGATAAGTTTTTCAAATGAAAATGAGGGAAGAAACATCCAATTACAGTCATGTCTGGAAAGAGGAAACAGTTTTGGCTTTTCCTCCCCAAATGTCTTATGAATTAAAATATCTTTAATATGGCACACAAATAGCAACCTCCTAGAAAGGTGTATTAAAAATTAGAAGAAAAAACTCCTCAGAAGAAGAAGGCTTGTCTTGCAAGTCCCAAGATAATCTTCTATTGTTAAAATCTATTGAATTTTTGAGACTTAACATTGTTATAAAACTTATTGCTCTTTCAAAGAATATTCTATTGATCTGCTAAGCAGTTTTCATTATATGTTTCATCTAATTATTTGGCTGATAGGAAAATTTGGGCTCTTCAAAAGTGTTGTGTCTTTTTCAAGAATCAAAAAGAATGATTCTTCAAACAGTTAACTGTGGATGTTGTTTCTTCCTTACACAGCTATTAGTATTGATACAAGCATAGTTTTTTTCCTTACTAGCATTTATTATGTCTACGTTCCACATAAATTGCTGCATTCACTTATTTATACCTGAGACAACTTTATGATGTAGATGATTTTATTAAGCCCATCTAATAGATAAGAAAAATAAAGGACAAATTATCTGTCGAAGTCATACAGCTATTAAGTGATATTCTTGGAAACATTAATATTTTAAAGATCTATCTGGACACTGAAAAGAAATATCTGAGTTTAGTGTGTATACAATGTGTTTTTTAAGGATACAATGCAATACATTTGCTTATAAATAATCAAAAAAAATCTAAAACATAGGTAAGACTTTAACCGAAGGGCACTAATAATCATGGAACAAGATAATTGGGTCCTAAATAATATCGACTGCAAAATCTGGAGCAAAGAAGACAAGACTCCCACTTTGCCAACGTCAGATTGTAAACCCCAAGAGCACTGCATTCAGTTTGGTTTCCAGCTTTAAAAGCAATACAGGGAAGTCAAGCCAAACTGCAGCCAGGATCATTTATTGTTTAGGATGTGGGCTCAGGAATCTGATACCTGGGTTAAAATCCAAGCTCTTCTGTCACTTGCCATGACTTTCGGCAAATTACTCACTGCCCCTTTTCTTTCACGGGAACAACAACAGCAACAGCAACAGCAACAGCAGTAGCAGCAGCAAATTTTACCAGGGTTGTTGGGAGGATTTAATGAAATTAAACATTAGTAAGTTACATGTACTCAATGAATATTAACTATTAATATATTCGAAGGAGAAAGTAATGAGACTTGAAATCTCGTCATGCAAGAAATAAATGAACAGAATTTAGAGGAGAGTGGCTCAATTTTCATGGCCTCTAGAGTCATAGATTTTTAAATCTATCCAGAAATTAAAGTAAAATAAATTCTGATTCAAAAGATAAAGAACTTTGTGAAAATTATAGCTTCCCAGAGACAGAATGGGATTTTCGGAATTCAATATTCACTCAGACATACTGTAGGGGAGAGTCAAAAGTCTTGGTCAAGATACCCTTTAACCTTCCTTCAAAATTTGTGTTTCCATGAAAATAAAATTGACCTTAGAAAACCACATGAAGCAACTGCCCCGTTACTACAAAAGTCTGCTTAGGAAGAGAAATCAGCCAACAAATTCTAAACACTTCATCCTTGAAGCCTAAAATATTCTCAAATTTCTAGCCCACATTGATCCTTCAAATCCTTAAACTACTGGAATTCTTAAGAATAAAATATGTTTATAGTTGGAAAATATTCAATATAAAGTTATCTATAACCTTGATGTTGCTTTAAACATCAAATGGTTATTGCTTTTCTTACTATTAAAAAAAGTTATCTCTACTTCTTTCAAGTATTTTTTTAAATTCCAAACTAATTATTGATGAGACTAAAGAGTATATATTAAGTTGGTCTTCTATAACTTATTATAGTACTTAGTACATTGATAAAGAGGAGTAAATGCCCAGCAAACAGCGATTTTCTGTTCAAACCTAAAGCAGATCATTTAACAAAAATCTCGATATAAATCCAAGAAACTTGTTTCGAATAACCACACTTTATTTGTATAACCAAAAGCTAGAGAATGAAATTATCAAGGCGTTTCATAAGTAAAGATGTGTCTAAGTTCTAAATATTGGCACAAATGATAGTAATTTCAATAAATTTACTTATAGACAGATCCTTCAGTAATAAAAATGAGAACATTTTGAAAAATGTTCCATTTTGAGAAAGCTATAAAATATATCAGTAGTAACTTTTCCCACACCAGAAGCATAATCTATGCAGCTTTATTCAAAATTAAATTCTAGAACTATGGTACAGAACAAATCAAAGCAGGACCTAGATAATACCTCTTTCTAAACCAGTAGTCTCCAAAACCGAGGGCGAAGTGGGGGGAGGAATTTTGAACATGCCCCCAGAAATAAATATATAATTTATGTGACAAATATTATATGTGACAAAGTACATTATAAAACATTCTGAAGAAAAGATTAGCAACAAGTCGGAACAGTTCTCCAAATATTGTTTCTCTGGGAACATTTTGGGTTAAGATAAACGGGAAATGCCAGCCATTACCAAGCAACATTGTTTATTATTGGTGCGATGCATCAGGACCAGGAGGACTGCGAGTGAACTATAAAGTCATTTTAGGGCTTAGAGACCTCAACTTTCTATGTACAGTGTTTTCTTGCAACTGAGGGTATCCTTTGAGGTGTTATCAAGATACTGGTTCCTGTGGAGTATAGGCCTGACCCAAGGCAAAGTAGTCCATGCCTATCCATATGGTCTTGTCATCTCAAAAGGGAATTGCTACTTGGGGAGTAAGAGAGAAGAGGTAAAAAATGGTTCCCGAACAAAAGAAACTCCCACTAAAGAAGCACCTGACATCATCATGTTGACATTCTGTTTCCTGTCCTGCATCTTTCTGCTAAACCAAGTGAATTTAACACCAGACAATGGCCTATTATGTCACATCAGTGTGAATGTCAAGATAAAACCACAAGTCCACTCAGGTGATCATGCACCATACTTTTGAGACCATTGCTTGGGTCCACATACTTTTCAGAATATTTTGGGTATATTCTTCATAACAAGCTTAGGATATTTTCTTTTCTACCTTTGTGATTTTCTGATGTTTTTTACAGATCCTTCTCTTTGGTCATTATAATTATTTGGCTGTCTCTACAACTATTATTGCCTCTAGGTATTTTTAAACTAAAAACTTACAACTCCATCACTAAAAATTCTGCAGCAGAAAGGCATAGGAACTCCTGAAAATATAAACACTACAATCTTGAAGTTCTTCACTTCTTACTAAATTTCTTTTAGCGGTTATCGGGAAATAACTATAGGGAACTTTACAAACTACAATATTGTGGGAGAACTAACTTCATATTTCAGTTTTAATATACTTTTATACTAGTTTCATTAAAACATGCTATGCCAAAAATAAACCTATTTCTTCCATTCTTAACAGTACCTTGAATTCCAAGTAACGAGATAACTTACCACTCTCTGTGAGAATTTCTGTAGCTGTATCTTTCATTACCCCGTTTTTAAGCACACATGGTTTAAAAAAACTTTTTTAGGATCTTTGATCACTATGCTGTACAACTGAAACTGGTATATTATTGTATGCCAACTATAATTGAAAAAAAAGTAATTGAATTGTACAATGTAAATACGAGCAACTAATTGTCTATTATATTTCAATAAAGCTGGTAAAAAAAAAAAGTTTTATAACTTACCCTGAAACATGCAACATCAGTAGCATGTAGAAGACAAAGAAGAGATTATGAGTGTACCAGAAGATGTCATAGTTAGAAACTCTGAAAAAACAAATGATTTAGTTTCAATGCCACTTTACATTCCATCTCACTAAAAAGATCATGCATCATTTCAATTTGCAATTGAAGGTTAAAATATGAGTTCATCTGAGATTTATCCATAAATATCAAAGTATTAATATACTGTGCAGAGAGAACCTATAAAAATTATAACACTTTATCATTTTGAAGGTTTTTGTATTTCAAATAAAGATACATGGAAAGAATTAAAATAATGTATTCATTTTAAAGTTACGATATAAGTCTGCTAATATGTACTTTTGCTATCCTTTTTATCAATATTCTTCATTTTCAAATGATTTCTAAAACAACTAATGTTCCTATTCCAACATATATTTTGAGAATACTTTGAAGGAAACTCAAAAGGAGAGAAATTAAATAAGTGCTCACTAAAGTTTTATATTCTTCTCCTTGACAGTATATAACTTACAAATGACACTTTGGTGTTATTGTCATCATGAGAACAGAGTCTGAAGGAGTATGGT